GAGTTATGATCCATTACATCTCTGAAATGGGCAGTTTCATCAAGCAGTATCAATCGTTGAATATATTTATAAGCAATTTGGCACAGGAGGATGGGAACCGGCAGCCTCAACAGAAAAAGTTCTCTGGTATCATTCGGTGGATTCATAATGCGCTCACTTAAGCGTAAATGTCTGCCTTAGTTAAGTTAATGGCGCAGAAATATTCGGAGGGCTGCTTTTAGATTAGGTCATCAGCATCGCCAAAGCAGATGGTTTAGGCAGCCAACTCAAGTAACCGCTAATTCTTCAATTAAGCTTAATGGAGGCGCCGTTTAATGGCGCATCGACATCAAACGCAATAATGGGCGCGCGGAAATCTAATTCTTTATTAAAAGTTACCTTCCGAAACCATTAAAATAGTTGTCGTTTTAAAATAGTCACTGATTGGAGAAGTTGAGAGATATTGATTTCGGGTAATTGAATAGCTCTGAGTGCACATTTAAAGAAAAATTCTGGTCAGTGGAGATGGCGGGTTAGAATCTGGAAGCATAAATTGAGTGAGGATAATTGATATAGATCTAGAGTTACTCGGTGGATACTAAAGTCGCAAATTTATTTAGATTGAGTAACAGAGGTAAAATTAAGACCTGATTCTAAATGAACAATCATAAATTTTATATTTAATTTTTGTACTTCAAGACATAATTACTCTGAAGAAGCGTAAAAGAAAACCCTTTTAATAGATTTGTAGTTAAAATAAATAACTTTTTTTTCTGTCACCATGTTTTCTTAATAAACATATTTTTTTATTTATGTATCTTATTTTTTTTCATTTAATTTGCTTAAAATTTTTCAAACAAAATAATGCTCAACGAAATTTTTAATAACATTGGAATAAGTATTTGAAATTGTTTTAAGATCATTCTTTTCTCAATTCTTCAAATTTTATAAAAATTCCAATTTCAAATGGTCTTGGTAAAAGATGTTTTTTAAGGGGACACAATACGATTGAGCTTACAAAGATGGTTTAAAAAAATCAAATAGATTTTTTGCCTAAATTATTTTTTATATATTTTCTATAATCTCACCAAAATTTAAAAACTTTAAGTAAAAACCGGAGTTATGATAAATTTTATGTTTATTATTTATTCATATTCCAATGGCAAATAATAACTTTAAGCTGATTTATTTCAGAAAGAAAAAATCGGTGTCTCTTTATTTCAAATGCTCTGAGGTTTTTTCTATTGCGCAAATTGCTTTAGTATTCTTACTGAACACTGGTATTAGTATATATAAGAAAAGTTGCTATGCCTTTTTGAATCAAAGCAATACTTCATTTTTTAAAAATATAGTTGAATTTAGAATTTATACATTTTTCAAAGGATTTCCAATAAGCATTCACAAAAAAAAAGTATTTGCGAATATCAGTCACGTTATACCAAAACAAGTACCAACTTTTGTTAAAGAAGTTTTTCATATTTTTAAATCAAATGTTACGTGTGTACGTCAATTATTGTACGAGGAGTAGCATTTTAAAATCACTTCATGAATTTTTAAATTGTTTAAAAAAATTAAATGGTTAATTAATTTTTTGCGCTATTTTGAGCACAAAACTTTTACCGAATACATATATATGAGGCAACCAAAAAATTTGTGAAAACCATTAAATCTCAAAGTTTTTTTTTTATAAATTGTACCATGTTCCTTTAAACTTACTTGACAACAATCTTAGTCTTTCTTTACAATAATAAATTTACTTTAATATACTTTTAACGAAGTTATTTTTTTATATTTTATAATATACTTAGAAATTAAAGCTAGCTCTCGATCAAATTGTTTACAGTATAATAAATTTGTTCTGTTTAGTTTCAGGGCGTATGATATTCTGGGAAAAATCGATCAAATGATAGGAAAATTATAACAAATTTCTTTAATTACTTACGACTAGCATTTTCAAAACAATTTTACTCATAACGAAAGAATATACCTTCTTTGACACCTACCAACAACCACCAATAAATAGAAAACTAGATCGTTTATTCAATTCTTACTATTAGTTCACCCTCTCCCTATATATCTTGTTCAAATTTTTAATCGTTAATAAAATCCTTTCTATTCATCCATTCAAGTTCAAATACATTTTTTAAAACTTATAGTGGATAATACTTGATGTTAATACAGTTTTTCAAATTTTTATTCATTAATTAAATAAAAAATGAATAAATAGTAACAAACAAAAATAATAGTTCAACAACATATGTCGAAAGGAAATTCGTTCGTTGTGTCTCTGTAGAGCAAGGAATAGCGTGTTGGATTTCTAATTCAAAGGTCGTGGATTCGAATCTCACCTGGGATGGCTTAATATCTGAGACTGTGATTTCCTTTATATTATACTATTTTATAGAATAGTTAAATTTAATTAATGAATAAATAGTAACAAGAAATAGTCCAACACCATTTATAGAAAGGAAAACGGAAAATTGCAAGGAAAATGGCATTCTATTTTGCCACTTAATATTGTGATTCTGTCATATGTATACATATTTATATTAATTGTAACTATTTAATAAAAAGAAACAAAAATAAAATTTTTCTATGTTGACCTAAGTATAGAAATTTACTTAAATATTTTTTGTTCTATATTACTTGTTTATAGATTTCAGTCACAATATCCCAATAAGGTATTCTAAAAATTTACGAAATAAAGTTCTTAAAGCCATCCATATAATATCCACTTCTATAAACATCTCTCTCTCTCAACTTCATTTCATATCACTACAAAACTTTTCCTTTTGCTTCAACTCACACTCGAAAAGAGTCTGAACCCGTTCAGTTCTCTCTCTCTCACGCGTCAATTAAAGGCAGATTGGAACGCCATTAGCCATTAGAAGCCTTTTATTCTAGAATATCACGTTCCCTACGTGCAGTCTGATAGGCCTCTCATTGAAGTGCAAATAACCTGATTAAATAGTAATGAGAGAAAAGGATTATGCATGCTACCGCTCCAAGCTGAGGGAATGGCCATTCACTCGCCAAACTGAAACTGTGATTGTTGAAGGATTTAACCATTTCGGCGGTTCCCATAATGGTATTCAGGATGCATTGTGAGTTTAATATATCGGTCTGTCTCTAACTTCCAACTATGCCGCTCTAAATTGGCAGCAAATAGCGAAAGGTTTGAGTTGAATGGAACTGCGGGCTAGGTAAATATACCGCATTATAACATGCATCCAGATAAATCTTTAGAAAGGTTACAAGTCTGGCTTTTAATGGAAGTACAATATATAGTTCTCCAGTTTTAAGTTGGGTAAGTTAACTATTTTCAGGTTGGGAAATAGGAATGTTGGTATGGTATTGCTGATAAATATGCGCTTTGTATAAGTTAAGCGTAAAATAAATATTTTTTAATTGTAGTTTTTATTGCATTTTTATCTGAGAAAAAAATATGTTTTTATAGTGTCTCATACTTACCCTTTGAATGCAGTATGTAAATATATATTCTTTAAAAAAAATTCAGTACTCTAATTTCGAGTGATAAGATTTAAAATTATATAGTTAAACACCTGTACAAAAGGTCAATAAATAAATAAATAAAAATGTAAGTAAATTTTGAAAAGCAAAGGTTTTACACCTTCCGTGTTTCAATTTAAGTAGACTTTTGTCTTGGGTAAAAAAAATTCTGGATATTTACGTATTATACCTCGACCAATTTCGCCAAATGAAAAGACATCGCCAAGTTACAAAAGTGTCACCAAATGCTGTCATCGTTATTATTGTGTTTGAAAGTGCGAGGGAAACATTCCTATTATTGATTGTATATCACAGTATTGGGCGACGTCCTTTGATTTGACGAAATTGGTTGACGGTAAAATATGTAAGTAACAAATTTTAAAAAGTAACGTGAAAAATATCTGGCCAAATGATTGTTTTTGATAAAATCCCAATTTAGTTCTGACCTTTAAAGACACAGAGAAGAAAATTATGCCAAATTGCGCCTATTAATTTTTCTGTATTGGGCTTCTATCCAATATGACGACAATAAACAATTCGTTAAGTTAGCGTTAAATAGTATCCTACGCCCGTTTTGTTAAAAGGAAAAACAATAAGTTTTTACGTTTGTTTAACATTAACATCATTTAGCAATAACAAAACTTAAAAAACTATTTGCATTATTTTTTATAATATGGGAATAGAATATTTTGCCCTAAATATTTACGAATGACATTTTTTCAGTTATAAATTCCTAATTTAAATCACATAATTTTAAAACCATTATATTTATGGGACAAACTATAACTATACATTATATAACATGTTATTACGTAAAAAAAAAATTACAGAAGAAACTTTGGCACGATTTTTTTCCAAACAGCAAGAAATATTTAAAAGATTATGCGCAAAATTAATTGGAATTTTTATCTCACTAAAGTATTTAGAACATTTCTGTGGTAAACTACAAGATCATATAGAGCAGTCTATAAGAACTATGTTTTTTATATTATTGTCTTTTACGATTTTTTTTTTATTTTTGAAAAATAGGAAAAGAATTATCAATGAGTATCAAAAAGTTGCGAGTTTCATCACGTCCGGGCCACCAAATTTATTTTGCAACATTAATATTTTTCTTTTTTCTAAGGTCCGTGTTCTTCGATTCCAAGCAGAGACAGCAAAATTTTCATCCACAATGCTATTCAAAAACTAAACCACGTAACATTTATAACAACTACTTGGACAACAAAAAATCATACAACGTAACATGCAGGAATTCATGAAATAAAAACAAATTGATACAAAAATTATCGTTGCTGAGTGCCAAACGAAATAAATAATTTCATCTTTCTTAATTGTTTGAATTTCCCCATCGGATAGGAAAGATGCGCTTAAAATTCCTTTTCGTAGGGATAATCATCTGCGGCACGAGTTACCACAACTTGTTTAAACAATCAAAAACACAATAATTATTTTCAAACAACTGAACTTTACAAAACAGAACTCTTCACATACAACGAATAAGGTTTGGCGGTTAAAGAACAATAGCTTCTACAGTACTAACTTTTTTTTACATGAAAAAAACATTACAATAGGTCAAGATAAAGAGGAAATGGGTTTTACCGACATGCTAAAAACAAACAATAAAAAAACGTCAACCCCTATACGATATGTATCGTCAGGAATTGTAAGAAAGACATACAAAACATCTGTCCACAGCAAACAAAATAAATAAAAGAATAAAAAAAGAGAGAAAAAAAAAAGAAAAAAAATTGAAATCAATGAAAAGGAAACGATGGAATGTTCAGTGGAAAAAGCTTGAGCTTTGACAACATTTTAAACGCTTCAATTCGGATCTGAAGTTCAACTCTTTCATGGCAAAGAAGGAAAAAAGAAAGAGAAAAAAAAAAAAAAAACCATTTTCATGCTTTTGTTACTTTAAAAGAAAATCATTATTATCTCCCACCATGCCGATTCGAGGCTATAAAAAGAAGCACAAATCGGTGATCAATATTGGATTTCACTGAAAGAAACTGGCTCTGGCGTCATAAAAGCGGCATTTATCGTTACAATGAAGCTTCATGACAAAAATCGATAGGACCTTCTTTTTTTTAAGAAAAAAAAAATTATCGATAAAGTCAGCATAAGATGAACATTCTTCGCTCTTGAAAAATTCTTTGCTTCGAAGTTCCTATGCAAAAAGGGCAGTAACCGTCTTCCAATAAAATTTGTAAGCGAAATTGCAATCTAACAAGGCAGTAGTGGAAATATTGAATATGATTTGAAACGAAACTGGAATTCGAATAAAAAATGACTAGAGTATGAGGGAAAAAATGATCTTGTTTGTTTGGATAATGGAAGGGAATTTAAATAATGAAAATATTGTATGGAATGATAAAGTTCTACTTAAGGTAAAATTTTTAAATCAATGAATACCTTCGTCTGAGAATAGTTCTTAAATTAAAAAGATAGATGTTGCTCAAGAACAGGAGTCTTCCGACTTTTGTCGACTCACGGAATCCTTGAAACAACAACAATGGCCCGAAGAACATAGTTCCAGGTTACAAAGAAACGCGGTAAAGGAAAGGAGATAATTCGCTAAAATGATTACAGAAGTTGTAGAAAATGACCATCATTTATCTCTTGGCACCTTTGGACTCTGGTCAGCAAGTTGCAGAAGGCAAATCGAAGCTGGAATTGCTGCAATCTCATCAGAAACGTTTTGCAGTAGTTCTTGAAGACTGTGAGGTTGTTGCAATACACTTGGACTTGAGGATCCCCACAAAAAGCAATCGAAAACTGACCGATCAGGTGATCTGGGTGGCCAGCTAGGGCTGAGACTAGACAGACCTCTGTTAACAACTATGTCAGGAATGAAGATTGTCTAAATGTGATCCATAGTTCAACGGGATGCATGGGCAGTGGCACCATCTTGCTGGAGGTAACTTTTGGTCTTTTCCTCCTTAGTTAATGTCAGTGCAGGTTTATCCAATGGGCAACAAGGGGCCCGGACAAGCTGGACTTAACCAGAGTTTCTGGTTATAAATTTCGATCCAACAGTGCCAAGGGGACCCGTAGATCTTCTGCCCCCAGGGCCCGAAATGAGCTTAAACCGGCACTGGTTAATGTTGCCACTGATGGTCTTAAAAAGTTTATAACTGTGTAAGAAAAAAAACATCTTAAGAGAGTGTTATATATATATATATATATATATATATATATATATATATATATATATATATATCGAATTTCTGCTTTTTATAAAAAATTAGATTTACGCATTTCAGATATTAAATTCCCTCATATTTTCTTAACTCCAAAATTTCATAAAAATCCTATTAAATTTAGGACTATAACAAACGGCTTTAAAATTTATATTACACTTCCGGGTAGAAAGCTACAAAAGGTTATTCAATCCACATTAGACAGTATTGATAATTCGATTATAGTTAAGAATAGCTTGGATATCATTAAGTACATGCAAGATAAAAAAATTACTTCTATTCACACCTATGACTTTGAAGATTTATTTAATTCCATAGATATTGGGGATATGGTTAAAATTCTCAAAATAGCCTATAACAAATATTCTTTGAATAAAATAATTAAGTATGATAAATATCTTTCATTATTCATCTAGTACTATATGAAAATTATATTTTCACAATAACTCTTATTATCAGCAAATTAAAGGTCTTCCACAAGGAGGACCTGCAAGTAACTGTTTAGCAAATATTTATCTGCACTTTTATGAATATGATAACATTAGTATAGATTCTTGTTACTTTTTAGATACATAGATGACTTAATCATCTTTAGTAATATAGTAAATTTTGTGCCTAGTTTTAAATATTATCCCCTATATCT